TCATGGAGAGTGTAGCCATTTCTCAACAGATTGGTCTGAATGTCTCTGTCATTGTTCACATTTTAAAACCCATGCCACATTCACTGCCTCCTCTCAGATGATCAGAAAAGGCGGCAGCAGGCAGGGCTGAGGGCAGTGGCTGAGGACACCAGCTCCACTGCCCGCCCAGTCTTGGGGACTGAGTCCACTGAGAACTCGCCTGACACAGAGCTGGTACAACGCGTGACACCAAAGTATCTTCTCTGCCTCATCACGAGCGCTGTCCACCTGGCTATTTTTCCTGGTGTTTCCAGAAAATTCTTACCTTTGTCCCTTTTGATGGCAACTATACTGTCCTGAAGATTTATAGAAGTGAAATGAGGAGTTTTCACTTATCCTGGGAACTAGACAAGGTTGATCGTTTCCTTTCAACAGCTGGCTGTCTCTGCCTTTTGCTTTTAAGGCCACATCCTCACGTGGTAGCCATGATACAGTGTGGTGGGAGGGATGTGGACAGCAGGAGCTGTCCCATGGAGACACCCCCTGCATGGAGCACCCCATGCAGGCTGGAGGGACATTCTCTCCTGGTTTTCTCCATTAAATCACAGGATTGAGTGACCTACCCCTAGCCGTGAGTAACCAAGACTCAGAACTTGGGACACCAGTGAACTGGTCACAGGTGGATTTGTGGACTCATCTCTAACCTGTTGATCAACCTTCTCCAAAAGCCCGTGTTAATTAATCAGCATTGAACTAAAGGAAAACTTCTAAGTGTCAGCCCCCAGACCTCATTGGTGCACTTGGCATTTGCATCTGTGATTGAACTAAGTACTAAAGCTGGAAAATTCGCTACAGGTGCTGCTGACTGGAACCCAAAGGAAGAAATGCACTGGCTGCCAGCAAATTGTGAGAGTGCAGATGAATCAGCTCTTGATATCTATTATAGATATTATCTATTGATACAAGTTGTAGATAAACATCATTAAAGGATAAATACACGTAATTATGTAGTTATCATTTAAGCATAACTAAATATCCATAATTAAGACCTATATGTTATTTAAGGACTACATAACTATAATTAAAACACATGGGTTTCAATTATATATAATATAAATTATAGGTAAAGAGGAGCACAAAGTTTTTCTCTTAAGTTCATATTTACTTATGTATGGAGCAAAGCCAGTACCTAGTTTTTCACTTAAGTCTAACACAGGTAAAACAGTGCTGAAGCAAAGGCGGCAGCGCAGGCTCGGGGGCAGTGGGAGACGCCGCTCTAGGCTGCACTGCGGCAGAACTCTTGCTTGGCCGTGGGCTCCTTCGGCGGGGCGTCTTGTCCCGGACCTCATCCAGGCAGACCCTGTGCAGCAGGTGGGCTTCAAACGGGGTCACCCGTCTAAGAGGGAAATGGACCCACAAAGCCACCTGCTGAATGAAGAAGGGCCGGGGAGGCTTCGCGGGAGGGCAGGGGACTCCTGGTTTCCCAGGACAAAGTCATCGCCTAGGAGACAGTGCAGCTGGGGTGGAGGCCCGGGCTGCTGCTGATCTGGAGAAGACCCGGAGAGCAGAGGGCAGCAGACGGGTAACGGCTCAGGAAGCTACAGGCCCCTCTCAGAGCCGTCCAGCCACCCCAAGACCACCGCTGCGTCTATGCTGAGGGCACAGGAGAAGGGCTCCTTCCCAAAATCTGCTCTCTTCTCTGTGCCTCAGTGGAGCTGGGAAGCCCAGGGTGTGCTGTGGTCACAAACACTTAGAGAAAGGGTGAGAGCCCCTCTCGGGCTTTATCACCATGAGCACAAAGAGAAAGGTGCGGGTGGCGGACACTGCAGAAAACCAGTAAGACAACGTGAACCACAGCCAAAAACCTGTGCCGCGGTTACTGGATGCTGTTGTCTTGCCTTGGCAGACAGTGTTGGTCAGAGCATGAGTCTTGCTTTTGTTTTAACAGATAAAGGGAACATGGAAAACACTGTCTTATCATAATGACCATCACACGTTCCACTAATGGTAACTTTCATGTCCCACTTCTTTTGTTCTGAGACACAGTCTCTCTTTTAGGCTATCCTTTCTTCCACCCTGTCATGGAATCCCGCTGAAAGCAGGGGCAAGGGTGACCCACCCCCACTGCCCTTACTGAGATTAACTCATTTAAAATAGCATTGTGAACACAAAAGCTAACGCATAAAAACTAACTGGCTTCATTTGCAATACCCTCTCTATAGACTGGGCTCTCCCTGAATGACGAATTTGTGTGGGACACACAATTTCTTTAAATCTGCTAAAAATCAAGCCCTTTTTTAATATGCTGCTTCCATCATTAATTATAATTAAATAAGTGCTTTTAGCATAATCTGTACTCTAACACTTTTGATGTCTAAAAGATGAATTTATAAAAAATATATTAATCTTGAACCATGAAATCCTCTTTGCTGCTAACTAGGTCAGTAAGTGCTGAGTTCCAGTATTGCATATGTCCACCTGGCTATGTAAAAATTAATTTTCAAAAGATGAAATTCCCACTGATTTCTCCCATGGATAAATCATTTTGAAAGAAAGTGTTTGTAATGAAATTCCAATTTAAATAGGGAACACCCCATCTCATAAATCAAAGGAGAATCTGAAGGCGGCTTTAAAGCTTGTGTTGACACAAATAATTAGCTTGCTTTTTAGGTTATAGCGCTGTGTGAGCATCGATTTTTCTTTTTATTTTAAATGAAGACCTTTATACTAAATAGAGACTTTCAAGTTATTAAAAATGCATTTGGGTAAGTGAGAACCTAGTGCTCCCAGATGGATTCTGATGTGGATGAAGAGTGTGCAGTCCGCATCTTCTAAATCCCATGCTTTCTTAGCTGAGGTCCAGCAGCCAGAGCTTGACCTGAGAGGCAGTGTCCAGAGTCGGGTGCCTAGATATGTGTCTATCTTTGCCTTTACAACAGGAGCTCTGCAGACTAATAAGAGCTATTATCAAGAACCAGAAGGAGAGCAGTCGGCATTTGTTGAACACAGAAGAAAAGCAAGCTCTCAGGCTCCTGCCAAGGTCCCTGGACCTGAATACTGGAATAGGGAACAGCCTCCAGGGGGCGCGCTGGCTAGCTATGAAGATCATGGACGGCACCTACTCTCCTCTGATCAGGGGAGTATTGAGAATCCATGGGTCCCGCATGAATATTTCTCAATCAAAATAAAATTGCAAAATGTTCTGTTCTGTTCTTTAAACAATTCATAAATCTTCTAAACCTCTATAACAAAAAGCATTTTTAATAAATATAATTTTTTTAATAAGACACACATAGCCACTTTTTCCAAAAATCTAATTTCTCTCAAAATAAGAGATCCAAGTGATATCTTACCAAGTTTTCCTTGCTGTGAGAAATTACCAGAAAATCACAGATTCAAAATCAGGGACAAGACAAGGATGCCCACTATCATCACTCCTATTCATTATAGTTCTGGAAACATTGGCCAGAGTAATTAGCCAAGAAAAAGAAATAAAAGGAATAAAGATAGAAAAGGAAGAAATTAAATTATCATTATTTGTGGATCACATGATACTCTTCATAGAAGAGCCCAAAAAATTCTCCAAAAGACTTCTAGATGCAATAAACAAATTCAGTTGTGCAGCTGGATACAAAGTCAACACTCAAAAGTGAATAGGGGGGCTGGGGATTTAGCTCAGCAGCAAAAGCGCCTGCCTGGCAAGTGCAAGGTCGTGAGTTCGGTTCCCGGTACCACAGAAAAACCAAAAAAAAAAAAAAAAAAAAAGTGAATAGCATTCCTGTACACAAACCACAAACACACTGAGAGAGAAATTAGGGAAATCACACCCTTCACAATAGCACCCAAAAAAATGAAATACTTAGGAATCAGTCTAACAAAGGAAGTAAAAGACCTATATATTGAAAATTACAGAACTCTGAAAATGGAGATTGAAGAGGATATCAGAAAATGGAAAGATATCCCTTGTTCATGGATAGGAAGAACCAACCTAGTGAAAATGGCTATCCTTACAAAATTGCTATATATATTTAATGCAATCTTAATCAAAATACC